ACACACACACACACACACACACACACACACACACACACACACACACATACATACTTCATCAACACAAACACACACCAGACAGACGGACATGGAGGAAGAGGAGGTGTAAAAATGGGTTTAAGACTGAGGTGAAACAATAGAAGATGATGGGCAAGATACACACTGGAGATTATTAGAGGATGGAAAGTTGGAGTGGAAGATAAAGGCCAAGGGTGAGGAGGGGGGAGAAGAAGAAATGATGGAAGGAAGGATGAACCGATAGATCCAGCTGCCTGGATCAATGAGGACCCGTCACTGACGGTGGTTTTCGGACACAGAAGCGGAGCAGGAGGTGGGGCTGATCTGCTCTCATTACCTGAGGTCAGCAGAAACCAGGTCAGCTGTCCAATCCCTGTCCTGATTTCATCCCTAATGAGAAGGAAGATGGAGTCCTAAATAAAATGCACCCAAGTAGCACGCACCGCTAGCATAGAGACTGATAGCAAGCTAAAGTAAACCCTGTTTTATAGCATGCAGGTAGAACTCCTTAGACATGACCCTGTAAGTTTGACACTCCTTTAAATCAAAGTACCTCAGTGGACAACAGCAAATGCACAATCTTCAGAGTTTCAAGAAATGCCATCCCAAAGGCAGGACTATTTATTACAAAGCACTTCATCTACCCTTTATGTCGATTTGATACAAAAACCTTCAGTGGCAGTCATTAGTTCCTCTGTGATTTTTCTACAAGGCTAAGCCATATCTGTGCTGAATGTGCCATGAGCAGTCAGCACACTGAGCCCTTTACTGCAGCACGTGAAGCACAGGAGACTGAAAGGACCACCGCAGAGAGGACTGGACTGGTCCTCAAACAGGACCGCAGGGAGAGGAGAACTGAACTCAAGTACCTATGGCTGTTGGATGGTCTCTGCTTTCATTTCTCATGTTCCCTTACAGGAGTGATTTGACGTTTGGACTGCAGTCTGTGGGGGTTAGCCGTACAGGTGACCCCAAACCAAGCGTTGCTGGACATGTCGTCACGACACATCCTCTCCTGTTTGTCACCGTTTACTGAACACTCATCTCTACCACTGAGAATAAAAACGGCTTGTTTGACATCTTCATGCGTGTTCTTCTGTTGTCCTTTTAAAGCCAGCTTCATGAAATGACAGGATTCATAGTCATCCGTTCAGCAGGAGGCATCAGCTCTGGGCCTGTTCAGGACTGAGCTGCAGAAAGCTGACATGTCAGGACTTCTGTGGCTGTAATTTGACCTTGGTTTCAAAATAGGCGGTTTCAAAACAAGATACATTTATTCTCATAGCATGCCTTGGATAGTGTAATAAATAAAAAATCTACTTGTAAATATTCAAAACCAGTATGTTCACACGATAGTGATGTAGTTTGTAGAGTTGCCGCCTCTAGTCAAGAAGGTTGTCAGATCAAATCCTGGCCAGGTGCTTTTCTGGGTGGAGTTTGCATGTTCTTATCGTGCATGTGTGGGTTTTCTCCGGGTACACCAGTTTCCTCCCACAGTCCAAAAACATGCATGTTAGACTGATTGGTGACTCTAAATTGTTTCTAGGTAAGAGAGAGAGTGAATGGTTGTTTGTGTCCCTGTGATGGACTGGAGACCTGTCCAGGGTGTCCCCCACCTCTGGCACAGTGACTGCTGGACATGAGCACCAGTGACTCAGAAAGAAAGAGGCGGGTACAGATAATGGATGGAGTGTGTTCACAGCTATGTCTTGTGTTATATTTGTAGGTAGTTCACTTAAATTTGTCCATTAAACCCAATGAATCCAGTCAGTTACTTAAACTACAAGCATGTCTTAAAGACATAAAAACCTGGATGACCTTTAATTTTCTCCTGTTGAACACAGACAAGACTGAGGTCTTGATTTTTGGACCTGAGCACCTTAGGAATACATTTTTCTATGGCATTAATCTGTCCTCCAGCTCTAATGTTAAAAATCTTGGTGTTATTTTTGATCAGGACATGTCTTTTATCCCCCACATTAAAAACGTTACTAGAACAGTCTTCTTCCACCTGCGTAATATCACTAAAATTAGAAACATCTTATCTAAAAATGCTTAAGAAAACTGGTTCATGCATTTGTCACGTTTAGACTGGACTATTGCAATGATTTATTATCTGGGTGTCCAAATACTTCTTTAAAACGTCTTCAGTTGATCCAAAATGCTGCTGCCAGAGTCTTAACCGGAGTTAGTAGGAGAGATCATATCTCTCCAGTTTTAGCTTCTCTCCATTGGCTCCCTGTCAAATCCAGAATAGAATTCAAAATCTTACTTCTAACCTACAAAGCTCTCAACAACCTGGCTCCATCTTATATTACAGATCTTATTGTTCCATATTTTCCTAACAGAGCACTTTACTCTCAGGATACTTCCAAAAGCAGAATGGGAGGCAGAACATATGAACTGCAGTGACGTACATATGTCATCAGTGCAGCTACAGCGTTCACTCTCAAGACATTATTACCTGCAGTGTCCAATCAGTGCGGACCGAATTTGGCAAAAAGGACCTACTCGGCTCCTGTATCCTGGAACACCTTGCAAAAAGATCTGAAGCTCTTGACCTTGACCTCTCTAAGTGGCTTTAAACAACTGTTAAGTTCAACGCAGACATGTCCCTGTTTTTAATATTTTACATTGCTTTATAAAGTAGCTGTTTTTTATTTTGTTCTATATCACTTCATTTATATACTTTTCATATTATATGCTTTCATGTGGATGTTTGTTGTTATGTGTACCTCATTTATGTCTATAAAAGTTAAGTTTGTTTCTCTGGATGGGTTCAAAAGTTTTTGACGGGTTTTGAACCCGTCCAGAGGACCAGACGTAACTTTTTTATAGATTTTTCTACCTGGATTATTGAGCATGCATCAGGATACCTTATCTATGGTTTTTGTTTACATCAGGTCTCTTGCAATGAGTCCTTGTGACTCAATGAGACTAACCTGTATAAATAAAGACTGAATGAATGAACTTCCAGTTTCAGTCCGTGAGGCTGACACATTGTCCAGTTTTAAGACTTTCCTTTTTGATAAATCCTATAGTTAGTCACCTTGGGTTTCCTGAGCTATCCCTTAGTTCTGCAGCTATAGGCTTAGACTGCTGGAGGACAAACTGACCACTTTTATTCACTATTCTACTGTCTTTACGTACTCTGCCTGTTAGTATTTGTAATTATTTCTATCTTAACATGTTTTGGCCACATGTCCTCAGTTGGAAAATGGTGGATTGCTCTCATCAGGTCGAGGGTGAGGTTCTGCCTCAAGTGGAGGAGTTCAAGTATCTCCGGGTTTTGTTCACAAGTGAGGGAAGAATGGAGCATGGGATTGACAGGATTGGTGCAGTGTTTGCAGTATTGCGGACTCTGTGCCAGTCCATTGTGGTGAAGAGAGAGCTGAGTTGTAAGGCAAAGTTCTCTGTTTATTGGTCAGTCTAAGTTCCTGCCCTCACCTATGGCCATGAACTCTGGGTAGTGACCGAGCGATGACTGAAAGATGAGAGGAGACTGATTATACAGAGCCAGGTGAGGAAGAGGAGACACCTGAACTGATTACATTCATTCAACCTTTATCTCTACAGGTTGGTCTCATTGAGCCTCGAGGACTCACTTCCAAGAGAGACCTGTTTTAAACAAAGATTGGTGACAACAGTAGATGACAAAGACAAAAATAGACATTCATGAAAAAGCATATAAATTGAAAAATATGTCACAGAAGATGATATTAAAAAATGAAACTTAAACAGCTACATTATAAAGTGATGTGGAAAACTAAAAACAGGAACATGTCTGGGTTGGTTTTTACCATGAACTTGGCAGATGTTTGAAGCCACTTGCAGAGGTCAAGGTCTAGAGCCTCAGATCTTACAGACTGGGAACAGGTAAAGGTGGGCGTGACATGACTATCAACACTTTCTGTGCCAGCAGCCATTTTGGATTTTGAGGTCAAGGTTGGTCAAGAACCTCAGAATTTCCAAGTTTCCCAAGTGATTTTTTGTCTGTGAAAATCTGACTTCTGTGTACAAATGGACCACACCCATGAAGGGATCTGTAGAGTCATTTTATTTTTATATGTATTCATGGGGTATGAAGTTTTTTGAAGAGGTTATGTAATTTTTCTTATTTTTTTAGATTACAAGTCTGTCTATAAAGTTTGAATTCTAATTGAACTGCCCTTTAATTACTTTAATTAAATTGCCCTTTCCAAAAAAAAAAAACATCTGTGAGACAGCAGGAGATATGAAGAGAGGACCATTAGGATGTCTCGTTGCAGACGAGTCCAACAGAAGTGTGTTTAAAATGTTATTAATTCAATGGCTGCATTAAAAGCTGGAAGTGAAACATTAATATTTGTAATTTGCTGCTGTGCCTTTTCAGGCATGGCCGTCAAAAGGGCCAGCAAATCGAAGAACAGAAGTACTCAGACTGCAGCAAAGGGAGAGGATTCAGGGGCCAAGACTCGTAGAGTGACGTGGATTATAAAGATGTGTGAGATCGGGGGAACTTTTTTTTTCTCTTGCACTTCAGTTATGAAAGCTTAGCTTATGTGGGAGAAGTTGAATTTTATTACTGGGATCAAGAAATCCAGGTTGGGGTGTGAATCAAAGAACTTCTGATGGGTTGGGGGGGGGGGGGGGGGTAAACCTTTAACTCTTGACAATGTCACCCATGCAGTCTGGTCCAGGGAGAAATGGGATCTTCGGGGCATTATTTAAAAATAAGCATCCCTGTCAGCCTCCTCCAGTTCAGAAGGTGTGAGCTGGTTGAAGGAGGGCGCCGCAGCCAATCACACGACATCCCACCAGACGGGTACACTGCTCCGGTTCTGAAGCTGCAGCTATAACTGGAGTGGAGGCACCGAAGAACTCGGGAGAGGAAGTCAATCTGGCAAAGTTGTAGAGGGTTTAAGAGAGGGAGAGAACAGGCCTGGAGGAATGCTTTGAGGAGCAACGGTTGCTTGGAGACTGTTGT